AGACCTCGTGATCCACCCGCCTCGGCCTCCCAAAGTGCTGGGATTACAGGCTTGAGCCACCGCACCCGGCCCTCTTTCTTTTTTCTTTTTAGATGGAGTCTCACTCCATCGCCCAGGCTGGAGTACAGTGGTGCAATCTCAGCTCACTACAACATCTGCCTCCCAGGTTCAAGTGATTCTCCTGCCTCAGCCTCTAGAGTAGCTGGGACTACAGATGCATGCCATCATGCCCAGCTAATTTTTTGTATTTTTAGTAGAGACGGTGTTTCACCGTGTTATCCAGGATGGTCTCGATCTCCTGACCTTGTGATCTCTGCCTCCCAAAGCACTGGGATCACCGTGCCCTAGAATTTCTGTTTCTGCTTACATTATGTATCCCTTCTTGCATGTTATCTACTTACTTTATTAAAGCCCTTAGTATTTGGATCATAGATTTTTATAATTCCTGAAGTTAGAAGTCTAGCATTCCTGTTACATTGGACTCTGCTTCTGATGCTTATTTGATTTCTTCACACTGTGATTTTTCTCTTTTAGTATGCCTTGTAAATTTTTGTTGAGAGGTGGACATAATATATCGAGTAAAATAAACTGCATTAAATTGGCCTTTAGTATTATGGTGTAAGGTGTGGGGGCAGAAAAGGCCTTTTAGAGTCTTATCAGCAGATCTCCATCTTTTAGAAAATCTGTGCCTCTGAGCCATGAGCTTCAGAAGTGCTCCTCAGGTTTCCTCCCACGTTAATATTAAGGAGGAGATGCAGAGGGAGCTGGAGCTGAGTATTTCCTTTTCCCACATGGAAGGCTAGAAACACCTCGAGTTAAGTATTGCCTTCTCCTGGGCTTGTTAGGCTCTGATTACATTCTAGTGGGTTAGGCTCTGAGAAAAGCAGAATGCTTGAGGTATGTCAGAGTGGTTACCTTTTATCTCCCACTGCTGGAAACAAGAAGCTTTTTTCTCAAATATTTATGGTGCCGACCTGATAGAGCTCCTGGAGGTGAAACTCTCAGAAGCTTGAGGGGTTTCCTACAACTAGGTATCTCTAGAGTTTTTAACTCTCAGCTTTACCCACATTGAGTCTTCAGTAATTTGTTAGTTATGGTTCTTACTTCAGTTCTGGTTTCTGAAGAGGCTTTTGCTTCAGTAAATTGTGATTTTCTGAATTTACCTATATCTTCAATTTGGGAGGAGTGGCTTGCTTTGTGATCTCACTTCTCTGACAGATCTAAGAAGAGTTGTTCATTTATCAGTTTGCCTAGGTTTTTACTTGTTTGTAAGACAGAGTGATGACTTCTAAGTTCCTTATATGCTGCACCAGAAACCAGAATTCTCTTCTATTTTTATTTCACTTTAATAAGAGGTAGAGTAACTCAAGTTTCTATGTTATCATATTTAAGGGAAACATATTCTGTCAGCTTTTCTGCTTATTGGTCAGATGCTTTTATTTATTCATTCAAGCAAGAAATATGGGTTGAGCACCTACCGCATATGCTAAGCATTTTTCTAGGAACTATGGAGTCATGTCAAAGCAACTTCCTTCTATATTGATCATAAGAGGGTTAATCCAAACATAGTGAAATAGCTTATTCATGTGTTAATTTTTTTGTCATTGTTGTTTGAGACAGAGTCTCACTCTGTCGCCCAGGCTGGAGTGCAGTGGCACAATCTCGGCTCATTGCAACCTCTTCCTCCCAGATTCAAGCAATTCTTCTGCCTCAGCCTCCAGAGTAGCTGGGATTACAGGCTTGTGCCACCACACCTGGCTAATTTTTTTGTATTTTTAGTAGAGATGGGGTTTCACCATATTGGCCAGGATGGTCTCGAACTTGTGACTTTATGATGCGCTCATCTCAGCCTCCCAAAGTGCTGAGATTACAGGCATGAGCCACTGTAACTGGCCCATGTGTTAATTTTTAAAAATATATGATTTCTACATTCAGATTAAGCCAATGCCTAGTGAAATACCTCATTCTATATGAATAAAAGCAAGTTTTTAGGACAGCTTTGCAGTTGAAACTGACAGCAGTGATTGTAAGTCTTAGTGATGCAGTGAGTAACATAAGAATTATTATATTGGTATCATTGCTAATTTAATACAATAAAGCTTATTATTAATATGCATTTTATCTGCTACAAAATTATACCTTTGCTAGAACAGACATATCTTTGCAATGATTGGCTGATGCTGAGTCTATGTGCTATAGACCTAAGTCAAATTGGTTGGCATCTTCAGTAATTATTTTTCCATGCAGCATAATGACTCTGACCTCCAAGGCCTTCACCAGAAAGCTAAAGCCAGTTTTATTCCACCCCTGATATTATTCCTCTAAGAATTATATTTTAACATTTTGCTTGGGTATTTTTTTCTGGCACTGTTTACGTGTTTAGTTTTTAATAATAAGTTTTAATTGCATTTTGAATTTACTTGCTATTTTTGTTTTGATAGTACATCATGCTTGCTTGCTGTCTTGTGGTTTTCCTCATCCCACTACTGTTTATTAATTTTTCTATTCTCATTGATATGTCTAGTCAATCAATGTTGATTCAACAAATAACTTGTTTTAGTTATACTTGGAAATATCAGACCAGAAAGTTGTGCTCTTAAACCTGTAGAAACACCATCAGGGGCATTAAGCGACAGTATAATATAATGCTGATATTCAAAGCTCTGGAACCAGACTCTCAAAGTTTGAATCATTATTCTTTGTAACTTAAGCTGGTAGGTGTGTTCAGCTTTCTGCATATAAAAATGAGATTTGTATTAAAATCCAGCTCATTAACTTCTTGGAAGAAACATGTTAAAATATATGAAGTGCTGAGAAAAGTGTCTAACCCATAGTAAATGCTATGTAAATGATTATTATTATACAACTTCAAATTTAATTTTGTTTTCCTTAATGTACTTTTTCTTTCCTTCTAATTTAACTTGTATCTTGCATAGTCATTTTCTGTGCCAAGACATTTAGTTAAAATATTATAGTTTTGTTAAGAAAGAGTGGTTTCTCATCATTCTCAGCAATCTGACACAAGAGCAGAAAATCAAACACCGCATGTTCTCACTCATAGGCGGGTGTTGAACAATGAGAACACATGGATGCAGGGAGGGGAGCACTGCACACCGGGGTCTGTTGGGGGGAGATAGGGGAGGGACAGCGGGGGGTGGGGAGTTGGGGAGAGATAGCATGGGGAGAAATGCCAGATATAGGTGAAGGGGAGGAAGGCAGCAAATCACACTGCTATGTGTGTACCTATGCAACAATCTTGCATGTTCTTCACATGTACCTCAAAACCTAAAATAAAATGCAATAAAAAAAAAGAAAGAGTGGTTTCTGTAGAAGTACTAGAAAACATTTTAGAATCTTGCAATGTCAGGAGTTGCTGGAAAGACCCTTTAAATATCATAGAACTTATTTTATCTTACAAGTTCAGAAAAAAATTCAAGTTATAGAAATCTGACTCCCATACAAAGAATTTGTGTTTTCTCTCAAACTATTCCTTGTGAGTGACTGTTACGTGATTCTACCTTCTCTCGTGTCTGAATAAGGTCAACACTTAGTTCATGGCCAGACATCCAATTAATTTTGTTGATAGACTGACTGCAATTTTCTCCAACACTGTGTACTCCAGTGATTTCTACTGGGTCATCCTATTAGGATCTCTGTGAGACTCTTAAGTATGTTTGTCCCACCAGTGAATTTCCTTAAACACATTTGTGCCTTGAAAAACATTTTCTGTGCATTCTCTGACAGAGTATTTGCAAGAATAGGCTTTGAACTGAGGATAAAATCTAAAGGAGAAAGTTTTCAGAACAAAAATGCATTCTTAAGGAATTCTTGGGAGAGTTCAATTCTGTTACTTAACTATGTTTTTTGAAGGGCATACGGACGCCAAGATATGAAATAACCAGGAAGAATATTACTGAAGTGATGACAAACTTTTCCAGTAACAGCCAAAAGTGACACAACTTTCTTCCAAACCAAACTCTGCAATATTTTTTAAAGGAAGGCTTGGTAACTTTGCAACATCTAGAAGAAAATGAGAAGGTAGAGATCCATCCTCCTTAGTGACTGATGACACTCCAGACACTGTGGAAGATTGAGAGCTATCTAGACAGGCAGTTTAAGGTGAGATGTCTCAGATGTGCAAGGAATGTTGAGGTGTCTGATAAAGAAAACACATTAAGACACTGATATGTAATTAGTACTTTAAAAATCAATGTCCTCCTTGTGTTCATTTACTTAGAAATAAAAAACATTCAAAATGATAACAGAACAAAAAGATTAAATCAAAACAATAATCTAGGATTAGAGTCACAATGTAATAAGATATTAGATGAAGAATATAAAAATGCAGTTAATTTTACAATAAAATTAAAAATTAACACAAGATTGTGCATTAGAGCTATTATCAATGACATTTATATTTTTCTATTTATCATAAAATTGAACTACTTGATATTAATTTCCATTTCCCCCAGTGCACTTGAAAGAACCCTATCTAACTCAGCTTTGAACATTTGAAGCATTTGAACATTAAAAAAAAATTAATGACAACTAAACATTTTCAAAAGGCTTTGCATCCTTTTTTGGATGCAAAAAAAGGATTTTTTTTTTTTTGGTATTTGAGGGAAAAAATACAGCCTTGACTATGAACAGGCAGAAAATATGAAGTTTGTTCAAATTAGGTGAAATGGAATCTGAAAAATGAATTTCTTTATTACCATAATGACTGGTTTCTGCTGTTGCCAAAATGATGTAAAATTGGTCACATCTCACACCCTTGCTGGGTGTGGCTGAAGCAATAGATTCTTGGTCCCATATTTGTAGGAAATCGGTCAGGGTGATAGGAAAAATGATAGAAAAGACACAACTACTTGGAAGGCTGAAATTTTTGCATATACTTGGGGGAGAATGAGCTGAAAGGGCTGTTCTTACCATAAGGCAAAGGGAGAGGATTAAGTACAAGGGAATGTAGGGGAGTTTATCTAAATGGCTTGTTTACTCACGTTGTCCTAAAATGGAACTTTGCTCATCTACACGCATGACTCCTCCCTGAAAAGGGAACAACAATGTTAATTACCCACAAATGGTGTTTGCTCCTGGCCTTAGTCATGAAATCTGTACTAAATAAATGCGAGCATCTCCCGCTTATTGAGGTCCCCTAGCACATTCACAGGCAAAATACCTGTGTCTGTGAACTCCTTTCATCTGTTGCTCAGCCAGAGTCTGCAGGACAGACTCGGCACATGTTCCCTGAGCAGGGTACGTCTACTGATATAGGTGTCTCTCACAGGCTGAGACAGTGACAGGAGACTTTTCCTGGAGTCACAGGGAAAAACCTGGATTCTCTGTCTGCTACCCAGCTCTACCTAGCTATCAGTCTACAGGACCCATGAAGCAACTTCATGCCCAGAAAGGTAAAAAAGGGATAGAATGCTGAACTTCACAGCTTTTTAATTTTGAGAACTATATTTGGCTTGATATAACTCTAATTCTTTTGAATTTGTGTCATCATCTTAATATAGTGAACACAACACACACACACACACACACACACACACACACACGCACCCCTATTTGGTTTATATATTCTCCTAATCTCTGTTCTATTAAAGTATTGATCAAAATCTATTTTGTCTTTTCCTACTAATTTATACAATTATTTTGATTTATTTTTGCCTTTTTATGCAGTCTAGTCAATTCTCTTTTATAAATTTGATTTTGCTTCATCTTGTCTATTGTTATTCTGGTTTCTTATTTGCTTTTTTACATGTTGGTATCTTTCTCAGCTTACTTCATTTTTAAAAATTACAAGTGAATGTATTATATCTCCCTCCTATTTAAAATATCATTACTCTCCTAGATTTTTAAATCATAGGCAGTAATCATGGTCTATGCTATAAAGTGGATGCTATAAAGTTAATTTGTGCCCCAGAAAGGGAGACTAATGATTTTTGTCTATGTCTTTCTGGCCTTTTAAACATGACTGACCTTCAACTCAGTTTAAATTGGGAAAAAAAGGTTTGCAAGTCAGTTAAATAATAAAACTGTGAGCCTCACTTATAAAAGTATTCAACTCAATTTTAGGATTCAAATTATCACACATATGTAAATTAAGGCCTTGCTTTCTATATTACTGGTAGTGAAATTTTCTTATACATTCTGCTCAGTGGCTTTGTGCACTTTTATTGCCCCGTACTGAAGGCTTGTTTGAACATGTTTTATAAATATGAATTTTACTTTCACTTATTTTAGAGTGGAAAGGAGTAATGCACAAGATCAAGAGGAAAAATGAAGAAAGTATCCTCTTCAGTCTTCAATAAACAAAGAGGAAAAAGAAAATTCACTAGCAAATCACACATTTTCTTCCAACTGTAAAGTCAAATAACAGTTACTTCCAATCAGTTGTCTTTGTCTTTTCATAATCAAGTCTTCAACTTCCATATGCCACATAGGAGAACAAGTTTGTGAGGCCACAGGGGAACTTGATGTCAATAGAAAAAAGATCTGAACAAAGCCCAAGGCAAACGTACAAAATAAATGTGGAAACTACCTACCAAGAACTGAAACATAGTTGGGATTCAATGAGAATGAACGCAAAATTCACCCATTCATATATAATGATTTTTGCAGATGTTAGTTAATGATTTTCACTTCTGCATTTTCTGCAAGTCCTGGAATTCATCAGATCTGGAAGGAAACATTTCAACAGTTCCCGGAGAATTTCTGGCCTACCCATATTCAGGAAGTTATGTGAGTCTCATGAGGAATCCTGTTCTTGTAACAGTTATGGTCCACTTTACAAACTCTGCAGAGTTGAATTAGGGTCAGCAGCAACTACTATTTGTTGCCCAATAAATACCAGACACGGTGTTAAGCACTTCACATATATCATGCCATCCATGTCTGATGACAATCCTATCAAGTAGATAGTATTATCCCCATTTTGTAATGAGAACCCTACAGCTCAATTCTCTTTACCTCAATATCACACAGCTAGTAAGTGGCCGAGCTGGGACTGGAATCCAGGTCTTAAAGACTGTATTCTTAACCCCAGGTCTTAAAGACTATATTCTTAACCATCAATTAATATTGCTCCCCAACTTCCCAAATGTTTATGTAAACTCTATGAAGAGCAGGCATTTAAAACTGCATTACAGACTGTACAGCAAGCATGGCCTCAGGAAACTTCCAATCATGGCAGAAGGTGAAGGGGAAGCAAGCATGTGTTATGGTGGTGGAGCAGGAGAGACAGGAGAAGAAGAAGAAGAAAGTGCCACACTTTTAAACAATCAGATCTCCTGAGAACGCACTATCACAAGAACAGCAAGGGGGAACTCCACCCCCATGATGCAATCACCTCCCACCAGGTCCCTCATCCAATACTGGAAATTCAACATGAGATTTGAGTGGGTACAGAGGGCCAAACCATATCACCCCGTTTCCAAGAAACTCCAAAGTATTCAGACATTGCTCTCAGCTAATGTCTCTGAGCTGAGCAAGGGATAACTGAATGTAAGTGGCAAAAGAAAGAAAGGTTTAGTTTGGAGGGAGTGTGGGAACCAGAAAATAAGAGTTAGTTACGCAGGAAAAGTTCATCCACTGACCTGGGAGTGCCCCTATGACAGAGGTCATGTCTTTTTAGTTATTATACCCTCAACACCAACACACTGCCTGGCACATAGAAACGCCTCAATAAATGATTGCTGAACAAAAAGTGAACTGTGCTAGGCTAGGCATGGTGGCTAACGCCTGTAATCCCAGGACTTTGGGATCAAGGCAGGCGGATCACCTGAACTCAGGAGTTTGAGACCAGCCTGACCAACATGGCGAAACCCTGTCTCTACAAAATATACAAAAATTAGGCAAATATAGTGGCATACACCTGTAATCCCAGCTACTCAGTAGGTTGAGGCAGAAGAGTAACTTGAGCCCGGGAAGCAGAGGTTGCTATGAGCTGCAATCATGCTGCTGCACTCCAGCCTGGGCAACAGGGCAAGACTCTGTCTCAAAAACAAATTAATTTATTAATTTATAACATAAATGAAAAAATATTTTTACAAGTTAACTTGGATAAACCCATTTTATAAAATGGCATTTGACCAGTTGGAATTTTAATTATGTTAGGTCACAAAGGGAATCCCAAAATATTTGAAGGAGGGAGTTGCCTGTTTTTAATAATCTTCACTTAATAAAATGGTTTGTATTCTGTGAACAGTTATTTTGAGATGTTGACATACCTAGAGAATGGTTAGCTAAATCTTCAGACATCTAAATTTTAGTCCGTCAAGCAGAGCAAATAGAAAAATTAAGAGCTCTTAATTATACATCTGAGGCCTTTTTTCTGGTTCCTTATTTTTATTTTTTATAAATAAGACTACTGGGTCTAATAAAAATCAGTGCACTATATATTGTGGATTTTTACAAAGTTAGTAGCAGAGGTAGTGGGAACAAGAGAGAAACCTTGAAGTACTGAGGGAGACAAATGTGAGGGTGAGGCCATCAGAGGTCATAGTAAAACATCTGACACTGGTAATTGGTAGCATCCAGGACATTTGGGTTCTGTGCAATTTCCAAGACCACTGAAAGTTTCCTTGGAGGGTGAAAGATACTAGATTTCTGCTCTTGGACCTAGAAGGGGACGTAAAGGTTACTTGGCCTGCATCTACTGCAGCATCTCAAGAATATACTTATCAGCTTTGTTGTCACTTCCTGACAAGATCCAAGATGACACATTTAGGTTCTGGAACAGGAAGAATAAGTGGAGTCAGAAGATAGTCAGGAAGCTGCAAAACCACTGCTAGCTTTAACTTCCTCAGGATTCCAGAGCCCTTGTCCTCTCGCTTACCTTTCTTCCAGGAATTGATACTGTCATCTTCAAAGGGCAGAACTGGGACCATCCCAATTCTGATGTATGTCCACAGCACTGTCTCTGTGTTCTCTCATACACTGTTCTCTTTTCTTGTGTTTAGGCTTCAATCTTCCATCTAGAAGGTATGAGAAAACATAAAGAATGGCAGAAGAAAACTTCGATTTTGCAGGAAAGGGCACAACAATAGAGATTCTCAACAAAGATCGTACAGACTCTCTAGATAAACCTGAAGATTTTAATGTGGACTGAATTCCTTCCCCTATTTGTAAAGGCATCCTTGCTTCTAAAGTGATTTTGTTTTGCTGCTTTCAGTTTATCATTATGATGAGTAACACCATCATTATTATCATTGTATAGTGGCTTACACTGAACAAAATACTTTCATATATTATTTTATTTAATTCTTATAGGAACCCTATGTCAAGTTATTACTAGCTTTTTACAGTTGAAGAAATCAAAACTTAGAAATTACATGATTTTCTCATGTAAAAAAGGTCAAACTCATATGCTTTGACTGTTGTTCATCTGTTTGGTCCTAGAACTGACATACACTATCATGTCAATTGTCCCAAATGACAAAATCCTGAGACTGACTGTATTCCAGTTAGGGCATGTCCCAAATTATCTAAATCTTCCTTTGGATACTTTGTTAGTCTAGTACTCAATGCTTATAAAACTCAGAAAAGTCTAAGTAGAATAGAAAGAATTCTACCTTTTTTTTTTTTTTTTTCTTAAGAATATTTTAATTTATTTGCACTATCCTAAAGTGACAGTCTTGGCAATATTCTGCTCTGAAGTCTTTCTTGATATATTTTCCATAAATATACAGTTTCCCAAAATGCTTCTACTTTGGTAGCAAAAGAGAAAAAAAAATGTTATTTTAGGCTCAGAAGCAAAGACTATGAAGGTTATGGGCAAAAAATAGATATATATATTGTGCACAGTTCTCCAAATCTTAACATAGGTCCAGTAAACATTTCCAGTTCCCCGACTGCCTTCTGGCTCTCATCAAAGAACTTTGAGCCCTGTTTTTAACTCAAAAAGACCTCCTATACCCTGATAACACCCTTGGTGTCAGATTCTAAAAACACAGAGCTGTCAAGTGTCAACATTTGTCGAAAGGGGTCAAATTAGCATTTCCTCTTGAGAATTTGCACCAGTTTTTTCTGTTACTGGCTCTGGCATTCAAAGAAAGCAGGGATGTTTGTTATTCCTTAGACCTAGATGAGAAAGAACTCAGCTCTGTTGCTTTCAGGGGATGGTAATATTTACTTGATGGCAGAAGTAAAAAAGTTATGAAAACTCCTGACTTTGGGAGGATTTAATTTTTTTCTCCATCTATGGTATCTCATTCAGTATAATATAACAAATCTTAGAAGGGTTATTGTTTTTGTTAGGGCTGCTAGAACAAAATATCTTGGGCTAGGTAGCACAAATTTATTGCTTACAGTTCTTAAGGCTGGAAAGTCCAAGATCAAGGAACCACCAGATTCAGTGTCTGGTGAGGGAGATGGTGCCTTTTTGCCATGTCCTCACGTGGCAGGAGAGACAAGTTCCCTCAGGCTTCTTTCATAAAGGAACTAATCCCATTCATTAGGATTGAGCTCTTATAACTCAATCAACCCCACAAAGCCTCATTTCTTAATTCTACCACAATGGGGATTAGCTTCCAACATATGAATTTTTGGGATACACAAACATTCAGATCATAGCAGTTGTAACAAAAATTAGTAAAACTGTATCAATTTGAGATTTACTGAAACAGATTTTTGTAGGATTTTATGTTTTTGATTCAAATATTTATTGAATACCTATTCTCTATAAGGTTCTGTGGGAGGTTAAAAACATGACTTTTTCAACGACACTCCTCTGGTAAGCCTTCTCTACACCTACTCCAAGACAATGTAAGATAATAATCTATACACTTCAATGTAGCCAACATTTACCTTGATCATAACAATCATTCAAAAAGTATTTACTGAAGGTCTTCTAAGTGTCATACAATGTGCTAAAATCTTGAGAGCCAACATCTTTCCTACTAAGCTGTGAGCAACCTGAAGACTGAGATTTAAATGAAAAATATTAATACATTAATTGAAATGATGCTGGCTAACTCTCTAGAACAAAAGGGTAAATTGTAGACCCAGCAAGAGATAGGCACTACAAATTGAAGTGGCAGGAAATGGTGGGTAGTTTCTTCCATGTTTTTTGTTTTTGTTTTGAGACAGAGTCTTGCTGTGTCACCCAGGCTGGAGTGGGGTGAAACCATCACAGCTCACTGCAACCTCCACCTCACGGGTTCAAGTTACTTCTTTTGCCTCAGCCCCCTAAGCAGCTGGGATTATAGGCATGTACCACCATCCCTGGCTAATTTTTGTATCTTCAGTAGAGATAGTGTTTTGCCATGTTGGCCAGGCTGGTCTCAAACTCCTGACCTCAGGTGATCCACTCACCTTGGCTTTTCAAAGCACTGGGATTACAGATATGAGCCGCCACACCTGGCCTGAGTTTCTGCTGTCTTAAAATTAAACACCTGTCAGGGTTTTAGGTCTTTGCATCTTTATTCAATAGTCCAAATCCTTCAAGGGAGAATATAATTAGCCTGACTTGAGTCACAGGCCCACGACTTGAATAGCTGGCACCTGGACAAATAATCCCGTGAAGGCAGCACACACAGCAGTGGAGTGCAAATTTACTCCAGGGATTAAGAATGTGTTTCCAAATCAAAGAGGAACAGACACATATAAAACACAACAAATATACCTTGTATGTGGCAAAACTACACAAAAACCTTTTATGTCCTAAATTCTGGAATTTAAAATGGAAATACTTACTTTATGTTTTCTCCTGCTTTCTGATTCCTCTCATTTGCCTCTGGCCTTCATTCAGGAGGAATGTGGAGATAAATGCCCACAAATGCATTGCTGAGATGTCCTACCAAATGAGGTAGACTAAGAATCAATAAGTCACAGAATTTGGAAACAACTATTAACACTTTTGATTCCGTAGTTATCTAAAGGCGATTTGCTTTTTATCTGGGCTGTATTTTGTATTTTTGCTAAGTATAAACTTATTTATTTTTCCTCCTAATTCAGAGAAGTGAATTCCTTCACCTTAGAGTCCTCATTTTTTTTTTAAGGTACTATGAAAGCCACATTACTTAACAGTTTTGTCTCAATTTTTCCACTTACAAAACAGGACCTAGGTAGAATCATTATTAATGCTGCCATATTTAATGCTTGTCCAAATATTTATGATATTCAGACATAGTTGTCTTTTCTTTTCCTTGAGAAATGTCAACTTTCAGTCAGGTTGGCCCAGGTAAAAAGATGAAGACAAGTCAAGTCTGATTCTAGGGCTTTCTGTTCACCGTTCTGTTTGGTTTTTCTCTTGTTTTTTTAATGCCCTTTTCCCACATTTCCCAGAGTAAGATAATTAGTGTAAAAAGTGACCTAAATGGTGCTTGGTGATAGTAAGTCTTGAGCGTACTGACATTGTGTCCCAAGATCCACTTTTACACAAGTTGCTCAAATCTCACTGTAAATGTCGTCAAGTTTTCCACAGCCCAGGATGGCTGGCTGGCTTCCAGCTATAAGAAATGGCTTCCTAAACATGGTCTGGTGAATCTGGTGATTTCAAGATTTGTGTAGCCTGCATCTTCTCAGCTTTGAGGATTCAACAGTCATTAAGTTCTCAGCAAGAAGGGGGATTCTAGAGCTTTTTATATCATGCAGTACAAACCACATTTGATTATGTGAAACATCAGGAATTCACTTAAATCCATAGACAAATCAGGATTCCACACAGTATTACACTCATTTTTTATGACTCATGGGAACTCTGTTCTTGTAAATTCAAATATGAGTGATTAAAAAAAAATTCCTAAATGGGTCTCGTTGTTCCTAGATATTTTATAATTCCTTGTCTTTCTCTTTTGAGAAAAAATGGAAAACCCTTGTTCCTTTATCCTTAGAATATCCTTCAGGTCCTGTTTCTCCTCTTCTCTTCTATCACTTAAGTGACTGATTAGGTTTCTTCATTTAATATCAGGAGCTTCATAGATAGAAAAAAATTATTTTTCCAAGTGAGCTCTGGAAATTTTCTGGAAAAGAAATAGAATTTCCTGAGATTGACATTTCATAATATTTATGATAAGTCATAACATATTATGAATGTGACAGAATCTCTAGCTTTACTTAGCTTCATAGAATTTTTTAAATTACTTGTTTAAATGCCCTGGCACCAACATCTTTATTAATTTGCCTTTGAAAATAATGTAAAGTTCTACACATGCAGGAAGATCAAAACAAAGCCATCTTCATAATGATACATATTTCTGAGCCAGGTTTGGAGGAAATATTAATAGTTATCAAGAACCTACTCTTTTTGTTTACTTATTTATTTAGAGTATTTTAAGTTGATAGCAAAATTAAGGAGAAGAACATAGATTTCCCACACTCCATGCCCCTACACATGCATGGCTTCCCTTATCAACATCCTTCACCAGAGTAGCACATATTGTTGCAATTGATGAACCCCCATTGACACATCATAATCACCTAAAGTCTGTACTTTACATTACAGTTTGTTCTTGGTGTTGTACATTCTATGGGTTTAGACAAATATAAATATGAAGATCCATATGCATAATTACAGTACCACATGGATTATTTTCACTGCCCTTAACATCATTTGTGTTCCATGTATTCATTTCTTCCTTCCTGCAACCCCTGGCAACTACTGATCTTTTAGTCTACATAGTTTTGCTTTTCCAGAAGATAATCTTGAAATTGTATAGCATACAGATTTTTCAGATTGGCATCTTCCACTTAACAATATGCACTTAATATACTATGCATAATATGCATTCCTGCATATCTTTGTTTCATTTCTTTTTAGCACTGAATAATATTTTAATGTCTGAGTGTACCACAGTTTATTAATTTCTTCATCCACTAAAGAATATCTTGGTTGTTTCCAAGTTTTGGCAACTATGAATAAGGCTGTTATAAACATGCATGTGCATTCATGTGTGTATATGTGTGTGGACATAACTTTCCAACTCCTTTATGTAAATGTCAAGAAATGTATTTGCTAGATTGTATAAGAGTAAGTTCAATTTTGTAGAAACTCTCAAACTCTCTTCAACAGTATCTATATCATTTTGCACTCCCACCAGCAATGAATGAAAGTTCCTTTCATGTATTTATTTATTATATTTTTATTTATTAGCTTGTTGATGTGATGGAATACAAAAATTGATTTTCAAATGTTGAACCAGCCTTGTATAGCTAGGATAAATCCCACTTGGTCATGATGTATGATTTTATATACATTGTTTGATATGATTTAATAAGGATTTTTATAGCTGTTTTCATAAAATTTATTGATTTGTAGTTTTTATTCTAATGTCTTTGTCCAGTTTTGTCTTTGTCTAATGTCTTTGTCCAATATTAGGGTAATATTGGCCTCATAAAATGAGTTAGGAAGTATTCCCTCTGCTTCTCTGCTCTGAAAGAAATTGTAGAGAATTGGTATCATTTCTTCCTAAATATTTTGTAGAATTCATCAGCAAACTATTTGGTCCTGGTGCTTTCTGTTTGGGAATGTTATTATTGATTCAATTTCCTTAATATAGGGCTATTCAAATTGTCTATTTATTTTCCTGTGAGTTTTGGCAAATTGTGTTCTTCAAGAAATTGCTCCATTTTATCTAGGTTACCACATTTGTGTATGTGTTGCTCACAGTATTCCTTTATGATCCTTTTAATGTTTATAGGCTCTATAATGATGTCACATCTTTCTTTTCTGATATTAGCAGTTTGTGTTTACTTTTTTTTCTGGTTCTTTTCAAAGAACCAGGTTTTGATTTTGTTTTTTTCTCTATTAATGTCCTATTTTCAATTTCATTGACTTGAGTTTTGCTCTAATTCTTATTTTTTTTTCTTATAGGTTACTTTGAATTTAATGTGCTGCTCTTTTTCTAGTTTTCTGAGATAGGAACTTAGAATATTGATTTTAGGGCTTTTTTTTTTAACTAACGTGCATTTTAATACCATAAAGTTTCCTCTAAGCACTGTTTTTGCTCCATTTTATAAATTTCATATTTTAAATTTTCTTTTGAGATTTCTTTTTTGACCCACATGTTATTTAAAAGCATGTTGCTGACCAGCCTGGGCAACATGGCAAGACCTTGTCTCTACAAAAATTATTTTAAAAATTAGCCCAGAATGGTGGTGTGTGCCTGTACTCCTAGCTACTCGGAAGCTGAAGCAGGATTGCTTGAGCCCTGGAGTTCGAGGATGCAGTGAGCTATGATTATGCCACTGAACTTCAGTTTGGGTGACTGAATAAACCCTTGTATTAAAAAAAAAAAAAAAAAAAAAGCATGTGGCTTAATTTGTGTGCATTTTGGGATGTGGGATTTTCAGTTATCTTTTTATTATTGATTTCTAGTTTAATTTCATTTTGTCTGAAAGTAGACACTGCCTAATTTATATTCTTTTGAATTTGTTAAGATGTGTCATATGGCCCAGAATAAGATCTATATTCATGAATGTTTCATGTAAGTTTGAGAATACTTTGTAAGTAGCTGTTCCCTGATAAAATAACCTATAGATGTCAGTTATGTACAGTTGACTGATGGTGTCGTTTAGGTCAACTAGGTTGTTATTAATTTTATGCCTGCTAGATCTGTCCATTTCTGACAAAGGGATGTTGAAGTCTCCAGCTATAATGAATTCACCTATTTCTCCTTTGCAGTGCTATCAGTGTTTGCCTCAGCTGTTTTGACACTCTGTTATTAGGTGACTATACATGAAGAATTCTTAGATATCATTAGAATTGATTCCTTTATCATTATGAAATGCTATTCTTTATCCAGATAACGTTCCTTGCTTTGAAGTCATCTTTGTCTGTCTGAAATTAATACACCTATTTCATTTTCTTCTAATTAGTGTTAATATGCCATATTTTTCTCTATTAATTTACTTCTAAATTATATGTGCCTTTATATTTAAAGGAGGCTTCTTGCAGACAATATATATTTTGGTATTTTAAAAATCTACTCAATTTGTCTTACATATAGTACATTTAAACTATTGATGTTCAAAGTGATGGTTGTATTAATATCTACCATATTTGTACTGTTTTCTCTTCAAGGCTTTCTTTCTTTTTTTCTTTTCTTCTTCAGAGGTCTCTGTCACTGAGTGTGAACTGCAGTAGTATGATCACAGCTCAATGTGGCCTCAAACTCCCCTGCTCAAGTGATCCTCCTGCCTCAGCCTTTTGAGTAGCTAAGACTATAGGCATGTGCCACCATGCTGAGCTAATTTTTAAATTTTTTGTAGAGATGGTGTCTCACTATACTGCCCAAGCTGGTCTCAAACTCCTGGCCTCAAGCAATACTCCTGCCTTGGCTGCCCGAAGCACTGGTATTATAAGCATGAGCCACCATGCCTGGCCCCTCTGTTCTTTATTTCTGTTTTTATCGCCTGTTACTTCGGCTTTTTGTGGTTTTAATTGATTATTTTACAGATCCATTTTCTTTCCCTTTTTAGCTTGTTATTTTTCTCTTTGATTTTTAAAAAAGATTTTTCTAGTGCTTGCAATGAACATCTACATCTAGTCCAAATCCACTTTTAAATAACACGATAACATTTCAGAGATAGTGTGAATAACTTAAAAAATAATTTGAATTTCTTCATCACATTCTTTGTATCATTCCTGTCATTCATTTCACTCATATATAATCATACATAAGCATATACAATCAAAAACATTGTTATTTTGAATAAATTATTATCAGATCAATCAACAATCAGAAAAGTTTTTTCCTTACTTTCACTTATCTTCTCTTTATTGGTCTTATTTTCTTCATGTAGATATAAGTTTCTGACCTAGGTCAGTTTCCTCCTTTCTGATGACCTTCCTTTAACATTTCTTGCAAGGCAGGCCTACTGGCAACAAATTCTCTCAATTTTTATTTGTTTAAGAAAATCTTTATTTCTTCTTCATTTTTGAAGAATAATTTCACAGGGTACAAGGTTCTAGATTAGTGGGTTTTTTTTTCCCTCTCAATATGTCATAGATTTGATTCCACTTTATTCTTGCTTGCATGGTTTCTGAGAAGTCAAATATAATTTGCTCCTCTAAGCAGCCCCCAACCTTTTGACATCAGGGACCAGTTTCA